GAGCGAGCAGCCACGTGATGAGAAAAGATGCCGCGGCAGTATTACCAAGTCCCCGCAGATAGTAGACGGCCAAGCCCATACACCTAAACCAGTATGGAAATATATGTTAGCTTTTCTCAACTGAGCTCGTAGGTTTCCTCACTATTTCATAAAAAAAATCACACGATTTTGGGTATAAGTATACAAAAATCACACGATTTTGGGTATAAGTATACAAAAATCACACGATTTTGGGTATAAGTATACAAAAATCACACGATTTTGGGTATAAGTATACAAAAATCACACGATTTTGGGTATAAGTATACAAAAATCACACGATTCTGGGTATAAGTATACAAAAATCACACGATTTTGGGTATAAGTATACAAAAATCACACGATTTTGGGTATAAGTATACAAAAATCACACGATTTTGGGTATAAGTATACAAAAATCACACGATTTTGGGTATAAGTATACAAAAATCACACGATTTTGGGTATGAGTATACAAAAATCACACGACTTTGGGTATAAGTATACAAAAATCACACGATTTTGGGTATAAGTATACAAAAATCACACGATTTTGGGTATAAGTATACAAAAATCACACGATGTTGGGTATAAGTATACAAAAACCAACGATAATTCCTCAAAATTTCCTCAAAATTTCCATATTCCTAGCAACACATGTAGTTGACCATGTGCATATATTGCCGCACTGACCTCAACACAAACGACAACAATCGAAACTGATGAAAACTGATGCGCTCTAGTGAAAAACATATTTCACGATTTCGCGTAAAAGGTACCGCGGGCAGAATTAACAACAATTGTTGATCGACAGAAGCGATATGTAAATTCATAGAAAAAAAAAGGAAAATTCAACTTCACTATTGAAATTTCGAGCGCTCAAACAGCCTCAAAAAACAGACCATCTTAGTCCTGCTACAGTGCTGAGTGCCAATTTGATATGTGTGTTTTCTATTCCGGGATTAATGATAGTGAACAACTTGTCGCTATCATAGTCTCGAAAGGTTACTTTTATCACATCACATGTTCATACCAATGTTCACATTGTTTATGCGATATAGTTTCACATCGATTCTTATTAATCT